GGTGGTGGTGGTGGTGGTGGTGGTGGTTAATAGGAGTCTCATGGAATTTCGTGCCCAAGCTGACTTTGAATTGCAATGTTCGAACCTCAGCCTCCTGAGTAGCTAAGATTACAGGTGTGAGCCACTGGCACCCAGCTTAGTTTCTGATTTTTTTAAGTGTCATTATGAGTATTTTAGAAACTTACGAACCTAACACTACTGTATAAGATGGTAAATGAATTACTGTTTTTGTACCCTTTTATGATTTCTTCTGTTGTACTATAGTCCTTTAAAATAGCTTAATGTAAGCTGTGCTTAATCCACAAACTTATTTCCCTCTGAGAATAGTTAAATGTTTTCTCTAAGGTATTTCATGTGTACTATCTGACTTAGTGTCTACTCTAGGTGAATTAGATTTGAAATAAATTAGTTTTCATTCTACTTTAATTCAGTAGTGAAGAAAAGTACCATTCAGTTTTCCTCAAAACAATATTTTTTCATCTAACCTGAATAATTGTTCTCAAATAATTTCATTCTCCTAACTCATTCTATATGTATTATATATATATAATGTAAAATTTTTCAGAGCAATTTTATAGTCATATCAGAAACCAAATAATTTATGGTTTTATGTATCTAAGGCAGTTGAAATAGTTAATGCTATTGTTATCTCTTGTTCACCTGATAACTGATGCATAGACAAGCATTTGAGAAGAATCTAAACAGTATCTAGGTCAGAATCTAAATCCCTAGGGAAACTTTAAGTATTGCATTAGGCAGCATCTTCTTTGTTTTCTTCCTTTAGGGAACTTTTTGGTCAGGCTTTCCACCTATGGGTCAGATTCCGTCGGATTCCTGCTCCATAGTTGCTGTGGAACTGCAGACTGGAAGCGCATCTCCACCCCTTTACTGCTCATTCCAAAATTCCCCAGGAGGAGGGGGGCATGAAACCAATACCTCTTCAATAGGTGCTGAAATTTCTGATCTAAATTAAATCGTAGCTAGCTGATTCTTTTTTAGATCAAATCCTCTTCTTAATTTCTCCAATCTACAGAGACTTGAGCCCCTATAAAGAGTTTGTGGTTCATTCACAAAACAAGAAATGGGCAGACTTTTGGTTTTCTCTTATTTGGGGTGGGTGAGTACTAGGGTTTGAACTCAGGGCCTGGAGCTTGCTAGGCAGTCACTTTTATCACTTGAGCTACATCTAGGCCCCTTTTTGTATTGGTAACTTTTGAGATGAGGTGTTACTTTATGTGGAGGTGGGTCTGGGCTGTGATCCTCCTGTTATACTGCTCTATGTGGCACTTATCAAAACAACCATTGGTTGAGCTGGAGCTTTTCAAATTTCTTTTTTTCCAGGCTGGCTTTGAAAAGCAAGCTCCCAATTTCTACCTTCCAAGTAGCTACGATTGTAGGTTTGAGTGACCTTTCTTGGATGTTTTTTTGTTTTTTGCTTTTTGTTTTTTCTGAGACAAAGTCTTACCATGTAGCATGAGTTGGTCTCCAATCCCAGTCCTTCTGCTTTAGCCTCCCAGATACAGGTATTACAGGTGTGTGCCACCATGCCCAACTTGACAAATTTTTATTGACAAAATCGAATAAGTTAATATTTGTGTAATAATTGTATACAGCTTTGAAAATACAGGCTCATTAATGAGAAGAAAGAGAAGATAATAATTTCATTCAAATTGATTCCATTAGACAAAATGATTCTTAGCTCCTAGGTTATATAAAAACAGGAGGCGGGCTGGATTTAGCCTATGGCTTATAATTTGGAGATCCTTGGGTTAGCTAGGAAGTATTTATGATTTTCTGTTAGTTTTGAACTTGAACAAAAATCAGTATTCTGTTTTTTGTAATGTATGTCTGTGTCTTTTTGTATGTGTGAAGATAAGACAGAGAAATTGGTCAGTTTTAAGGAACTAGCCATAATTTGTATTTAAGCTGTTTGTTCTGATGGAAAAACAGAAGTCTTACCACTCATTGTCATTCACAAATGTTTGGTCTTTTGAGAATTTGCTGTTTTTTAAATAAGTAAAAAATTTGTAATATACATGTCAATAGAGGAAAAATGAAGACTATAATATATAATCCTAAGGACATAGAACATGGTATTTAGTATTAAATATTCAGTATATCTTTTCAGTTTTAAACTTTACTATTCAAACCTTCCCACATTAAAATCCTTTGTTAATACGTGAATCAAAAAAGGCAAGCTAAAGGTAAAGGGCCTTTTCAAAAATGACTAACAGTTTTAGTTGTGAGAATGATGATGGTTTTTGTTCTTTTAACTGTATTAAAGATTTTCAAATGAAGATTATTTAGGCAGCTGCTTAGTTAATAATGTAGACCCAGTCTGTCACAACTGATTTTTATTGTTGACTTTTATTTTTCCAGGATTTCTGTCTGTGTAAGATATCTCTATTTCCCAGTAATGAGACTTCGTGTGTACCATATGCCAGCCTTGTTCTTCATGTGACTTAAACACAGCCTGTGATTAACCATCCTACATCTACAATGACATTCACTACAGTGTCTGTCTGATGGTGTGACATTTCAGAACTTGAATATTTGGTGCTTCTCAGTTGTAATTTCCTATGTTTGCACAGAGTCTGTTTGCTTTTATTGTTGTGTCCCTTCTTTCTGTGTTCTCCCCACCTCAACTTCACCTTTCTTTAGCAAAGATGAGGATTCTACCTTCAACATACATTGTTGGTCTTGTCTTCTGTTTTTGTTAGGAGGGACAGCAGTGTGATTAAAGAGGAAATCAAAGCCTTTCTTGCCAATCGGAGGATTTCCCAAGCAGTTGTTGCACAGGTAACAGGTAAGAGTTAAGAGCCCTTTATTCTAGAATCATGTCTAGTCTCTGCCTTCTGTGCAGATGTTGGAATACCGCTTGCATTTCTGCATTGCAGTGCAGATCTGTTGACGTAGGCATAATAATGTATGCCTATGATTTAAAACCATTGTCTGTTATCACAGAACTTATCCAATGATTTTTTCAAACTGTGCTGGTAAATGGTAGAGCATTTGTAAGAAGCAAAAGATTCCCTATTTTATGGCTAAAAGGGGATCTTTAGTTTGCTTTTAATTCTAACAGAGCTGATGACACATGCACATCCAACTGCTATCTACATTTTCTATTTTTAAAAACATTTTAGTCCTCCAAATCTAATCCCTGAGTTTACTAATTAAAGAGTAATTCATGAGGGTAAAGAACGTTGTGGTTTTAACGACACTTTTCTCTGTGTGACAGCTTTTCTCACCCATTCCTGAGAAGATGAGTTAACCATTGTCTTCTCTTTGTTCTTTATATCCCATCCCATTTTCCACCCCCCAAGCTCCATCCCTAATATGTGGTGTATATGTGTCATTCTCTAGTCAGATTTCATTTTTATGAAGTTCTTAAATTTGGATGTAAAATGTCTTTTATTTGTTGGTATATAGTCTTCCTTTTTTGGATCTTAGTGATTTGTAATATACTAAAATATTAACTGTTCTTTTTAGTCATTAGAAGAACCAGAAACTCTTTACATTTTGTGCACTATATTATACTTTCTACATTGGTAGATATAAAAATTGATTTACCACTTTTTTTTTTTTGGTCCAGTTGTGGGGCCTGAACTCTGGGCCTGGGCGCTGTCCCTCAGCTCTTCAGCGCAAGGCTAGCACCACAGCTAGAGCCACAGCGCCACTTCTGGCTTTTTTTTTTCTTTTTGCTTATGTGGTGCTGAGGAATCGAACCCAGGGCCTCAGGCATGCAAGGCAAGCACTCTACCACTGAGCCACCTTCCCAGCCCCTGATTTTCCACTTTTTTAATGCTCCTTGTAAGCTATGTGATTTTGATTTTCACCCTTCCATAATGAAAATACTTGAATTTTATCTTCAATAGTACTTTCAATTATAAGATAGTCTTTTTGTTCTCTAAGTATTAATATGTGTTGAACCTATTTCACTTAAAAGATTATTACTATCCATTAATTCAGTTAAAAATGAAACAAGCTTTAGAATTGTTAAATTTTGTTCCATATATCTAAGGCCAACCAATCTTTTTTTTTTTTAAGAAGTTTTTTATTGTGAAAATGCTGTGCAGAGGGGTTACAGTTACATGAGAAAGGTAATGAGTACATTTCTTATCCACCATTATTGGCTCTTCCTTTGTTTTTCTCCTACCCAACCAATCTTTTATGTGTGGGCATGCATATGTATATATGTAAAATATATTACACAAATAACACTTTTTTTTTGGTTGTGGGGCTTGAACTCTGGGCCTGGGTGCTATCCCTCAGCTCTTTAGCTCAAGGTGAGTGCTCTACCACTTGAGCCACAGTGCCACTTCTGGTTTTCTGGTGATTAATTGGAGATAAGAGTCTCATGGACTTTTCTTGCCTGGGTTGGCTTTGAACCGAGATCCTCAGCTCTCAGCCTCCTAAGTAGCTAGGATTATAGGGGTGAGCCACCCATATACCACATTTTTATAAATGATACATCTGTTGATGGTGAGAGACTTTTTTAAGATATGTCCTTCAGTATACAAGTCTTAAACCAAAGAAAGTAGGATATATTAAACAAATTACTTACATTTATCTTCAGGGACCAAGTTAAGATGCTTAAGACAGTATAGGGGCAAGTTATACGGATTTTTATTGAAACTCGCTGATTGGTAGGCTAGGAAAGAGGATGTCTTCTTTTTACACTTTAGGACTAAAAGTGAGATTATCTTTTAGTTTGCAAGCCTAAATAAAAGGAGACAAAATTTTAGTGTTAAGAGAACAGCATGAAGCCAGGTGCTGGTGGCTCACTCCTGTAATCCTAGCCACTCAGGAAGCTGAGATCTGAGGATCATAGTTCAAAGCCAGCCTGGGAAAGAAAGTCCATGAAACTCTTATCTCCAATTAACTACCAGAAAAACCGGAAGTGGCACTGTGGCTCAAAGTGGTAGAGTGCTGGCCTTAAGCTGAAGAGTTCAGGGACAGCACCTAGGCCCAGAGTTCAAGCCCCATGACCAACCAAAAAAAAGAAAAAACCAAGAATAGCATGAGAAAATTGATTTTCTTCAGGTGGGAAGATTTCTAAGTATATTGAGTACAGTGAATCTAGAATCATCTTGACTTTTAAAATAGTGACTTTGAAACCTAAGCAGAATTATGAAATGCCTTTGTAAAGTGTTTAAGTTAAGCATGATGATGATGATTTACACTTGTAATCACAGCTCTCAGGAGAATGAACCAGGAGGATCGTGAGTTTGAGAGCTGCATAACAAAGCCTTGTCTCAAAAAACATTAGTGGGGATAAATATTTCTTTCTTTTTTTCATCAGTTGTGGGGCTTGAATTCAGGACCTGTGTACTATTCCTGAGCTCTTTCACTCAAAGCTACTGTGCTCTACCACTTTTGACCCACAGCACCACTTTCAGCTTGTAAGTGGTTAATTGGAGATAAGAGTCTCTTGTGAACTTTTCTGCTTGGGCTGGCTTTGAAAACCCCCATCCTCAGATCTCACCCTCCTGAGTGGGTAGGATTGCAGATGTGAACTACTGGCAGCTGGCTTGGGATAAGTATTTCTTAGACATATCTAAAAACACTAGATGTACCAAAATGTGTTGAACATTATGCACTAAGTATTGCTGTTCTTCAAGTAGCTCACACCTGTAATCCTAGCTGCTCAGAAGGCTGAGATCAGAGTTCAATTTGAAGCCAACCCAGGCAGAAAAATCTACAAAAGTCCATTTCTAGTTAATTCGCAAAAAAGCAAGGATGCAGGCATGGCTCAGATAATAAAGTGCCAGCTGTGAGTAAGCAAGATCAGTGAGATTGCAAGGCCTTGAGTTCAATCCATGGTACAGGCAAAAAAAAAATTTTTAACAGTGCACTCATGAGTGCATGCATGCTCACGCTCACACACACAACAGATCAGTGTTAAGAGTCATCTAAGGCTGGGCGCTGGTGGCTCACGCTGTAATCCTAGCTACTCAGGAGGCTGAGATCCGAGGTTCTCGGTTCAAAGCCAGCCCGGGCAGGAGAGACCGTGAGACTCCTGTCTCCAATAAACCACCAGAAAACCAGAAGTGGCGCTGTAGCTCAAGTGGTAGAGCGCTCGCCTTGAGCTGAAGAGCTGAGGGACAGCGCCCAGGCCCAGAGTTCAAGCCCCATGAGCGACAAAAAAAAAAAAAAAAGAGTCATTTAAGCTAGAAATATAAAAATACAGGGTAACTCTTCTAAACTTATGAGACCGAATTTACATTTGGACCATATTCCCAAGTAACTTAGGCTTAAAAGAAGTGAATTTAGGAGACAGATCAAGTTTCCTGATGTCATGTCAGTGGATTAGTGTTATTTAACACTGCCTCTCTCAGTGGTAAATCTCTGCTTTTGGAAGCTAGAGTTGAAAATATATCAGTACACTTATTATCTGCTATGTTACATGGACTGTCCTTTTGCTACTAAAATTCCAGGGTTTGGTAGTTTTTAAAATGTCTTCCCCCATTTTAGCCTTACCCTAACTTGTTCTTCCTCTTCATTTCTACTCCAGAAGCTTGGGTTTGTCCTTTGGTGGTTCTCTGTTCTTCTCAAAAATGAATTCCTTAAAATGTGATTCTACTTTTTTTCTATTGTCAATATAGCTCCTCCCCCTCCCCCCCTCCACTCCCCTGACCCCATTCAAGTACTTGTAATGTTTGGAATTCTGCTGTCTTGGATGCTTTCAATCCTTGGTAGGAGGCCTACATAGGAAGCCTTTGGCCTCCTTATCAAATCCTGCTTAGTCGAAGTATCACTGGTACTCATTTCTGCAGTGTATCTTAGAGTAATGTTCTTCAGTAAAGTGACCTTTTCTTACCCATTCCCAGGGAGTCCAGCAATGTACATGTTCATATTTACCTAGCTGTTTTGTGGTGTAAAGGGAATATTGGTGCAGTTACCACAAACTGTATTTTGTGTGTGTGTGTGTATGTGTGTGTGTGTATGTGTGTGTGTGTGTGTGTGTGTGTAAAGGGAGTATTGGTGCAGTTACCACAAACTGTATTTCGTGTGTGTGTGTGTGTGTGTGTGTGTGTGTGTGTGTGTGTGTGTGTGTGTGTGTGTGTGTGTGTCCTGGGGATTGAAACTCAGTTCCTGAATACTGTCTCTGAGCATCTTTGCTCCTGGCTAGTGCTCTACTTCTGTCCTTGTCATTGTTGCAGTTGCTTTTTGTTTTTGAGTGAGTAATTGGAGATAAGAGTCTCACGTACTTTCTGCCTGTGCTGGCTTCCAACCATGATCCTCAGATCTCAGCCTCCTGAGTAGCTAGGATGACAGACACAAGCCCACTGTCACTCAGCTGTATTTCTGAAAAATTGTCCAGTGAGATTTCTCCAGGAATAATTGCTTAGTTCATGAAGTTTTGCTCATGAACTATTTCATTTTGTTTTTCTTTTGTTTTCCTATAGTGGTGGGGATGGTATTTCTAAGGTTTGGTCTCAGGGCCTTATGCTTATTAGACAAGTGCTTATCACTTGAGCCTTACTCTAGCCCCTTTTCACTTTTTTAGTTATGTTTCTGGTAAGGTCAGCTTCAAACCAGATTCTTGCTACCTACAACACTCTCATATAGCTGGGGCCACACTGCCATAACCAAGCAGTTCATTGATAGGCTCTCTTAACTTTTTGTCCAAACTGAAGTCCTTCCAATTTCTACCTCCTGAGTAGACTTGCGGACATGAGCCACTGTGCCTGCCTTGCTTTTTTTTTTTAATCTTCAAAGTAGGAGAATGAGATCATTGATAACCAGATTGATTTATTGTTCTGTTAGCTTACTGAATCCACATTTCTCATATATTACTCTGTC